CAGGAATCTGACAAATAAATCATTTTCACAAAAAGCTGTTGCCGATTCCTTAATCAGGCAGTGTGAAACGATGTTATCAGGGTGTTTGTACAGTGCAATGGACAAGGGCCTACTCCTGGTGTTTAAAGGTGTCAGAGCTACAATGGTACCAAAACCTTGTCTGTGGATGGGCTGCCGTGTTGGAGCAGGGAATCCACGTCTCACCACACATTAGAGCCAACCATCGGCTAAAGAAGTGGCTAGCAGGCTAGCCAGCTGTTGGTGAACAGCTCCCACAAAAAGGCCAAAACCAAAAGTCAGGGGTTTTCAACCAGTGGTCCACAAAGGTACAGCAGGTGGTTCCTGACCATGCAGTCAATAATAGTTTCACTGTAGGAATTACTTTTTTTAAACACACATTTACATGTATTAATTGTTGCTTGTGAATAATCAAATTCATGTAAATATATAACATTTAGAAAGGTCATTGTGTCTTTCAGGACCCATCCAGTCTATCCGCCCCACAGCTGTGGTTAGTTCTCACTGGGTCACAATTAGTTGAAAACTCCTGGTCTATATCCGGACTTTCTGTCTCTGTGGTTTTTAGCCCATAAATTCAAAGAGGAGTAAAAGTGCATTTGTTGGGGACTAGTTTCAGCTGTGAATTAATACACACTTGGTGTTCTACTGAGTATTTACAGCAGTGAGACAGTGTGGAATTGACTTGAAATAAACTGCACTGTCCATGTCCATTGTAATAAAGGAACATATCACCCAATGCAAGTGTGGTACATTTATGTTTTTGACAGTAACTGTTTTTTGGACAACAAGCTTTAGCAAGTTTTGGCTTGACAGACAATCACCAGGGACACCATTGTGTAACTTTGTCTGTTTTATTCGAGAGTCATCTTTACATTTTTGGTAAAAAATAAAATCAAATTTGGCATTACAGATACATTCACGTGTCACAGATAAATGTGTTTGCTTGACTGAAGTGTCAGTTCCACACTTATATCAACACCTTTCTCTAACAGCAGAGATACTGTCCTGGAACTTTTAAACTAGAGTCATACTTTACCTATACATAAAAAAGAAATGAAAGAAGAACAAACTTGGAAACATGAAACCACCTTAAGGCCCCAAAAATAAAATCTTTCCTAGATTGTGTTAGAAAAACATGAACAAAAAGCAGCTTAACTAGCATGCATGAACAACATTTGTCAATAAGCCTCGAGTACTTTATAGGAGGAGAAGGGTTTAACAAAGTGATAGTCCAGGTTGCCGCAGTGAGGGCACTGCTGGACATTGCTGTACTCTGAGAAATACTGCATCCCGACTCGTACGTCCACCACCGCCTTCCCACAGTGCTTACAGTTGAGACGAGCCTGGGGAGGGGACACAGGTCACTTAACAGGGTATTGATGTTAAAGTTGGACAATGCTAAATTTGAAAAAGGGCAGTTGTTTTTTTGACCATGGGAACTGCCTGTCAAAGGTCGTCTTAGCTTTCAACTGCATAACACAGCTATCACTGACTGGAGAAGTTACACGTAAGTGGCAAAGACTCTGGACGTGGAACTGAACATACATTGGACACTGACATCTGCTGTCTGTAGGGGTGGAAGGTAACTAAGTACATTTAGTACTGCACTAAAAATGTTGAGGTACTAGTACTTCATTTGATTATTTCCATACTTTATACTTTTACTCCACTACATTTCATTGGTAAATGCTGTATTTTTTCACATCACTACATTTATTTATTAACTTAAGTTAAAAGTTTTCACATTCAGATTCATACAAAATATCAAGTTATGAGTATTATTATAGGTTAAGACTTTCCTGATTCCTAATATGAAAATTCACATGATACTCAACAGTCATTAAAATTAGCTCCAACTTTACCAGCTGCAACATTAGTGACATAATAATGAAGCAATAATCCTATAATCTAATACACGTCATTCTGAAATGGGCCATTCTGCATAACAAGAACTTTTATTTTTAGTACACAAAGTATGTGTTGATACTAAAATTTTTTTAAACCTTTATTTATTCAGGGTGGGTCAACTGAGAGGCAACCTCTCAGTAAGTATATTTGATACTAACAGCTGTGTAATTTTACTTAAGTAAAATTTGACAAACAGGAAACAAGACTGGGAAGGGGTCAGTGGATGTGAGATCAGTCATTTTTCAAGCAAAGATAAATATTTGCTGATTCAGTTTCTAAAATGTTAGCACCTTTACCTGCACACTCACAGCACTGACTAACTTTAAATGTGTTGGCTCCACCCAGAGGAAGTGATTCATTACAACAGCTCATTTCTCTGGCTGTCTCCTGCAGGATTGGGCGACAATTATCTGTGGGTCTGTCACTATGAGTGACACAATTCACGTTACATGCAGTCATTTAGCATAGCTACAATTAATGGTTAATGTGGCTTTAACTCCAGTTTGCAAAACAATATACTGCTCTCCCAGATTACATAAAGTAACGTGCTCATGGATACCCAGTGTTTCTACCTGGCAACAAGGCGAAGCAGCCAGAATGTCGTAGGTGTACATGGTGCCCAGTTGGTGCCAGCTCCCATCCCAGCGTGACTTGCACTTGATGCACACAATCTTGTGGACGCCTTCAAGACAGTCCACACAGATGGCGTAAAGGTGCATTAACCTGCCTGTTAGAAAACAAGAAATAGGGTTAGGTGTTACGTTTACTAAATAACAAGCCAGTAACTTTCTCTTTAAGCAGTCTGTTAATCGGCCAGAAAAATGAATAAAATAATCTCCTGGCTGCATCTTTGGCTTGATGTCATCTTTTTACACAGAAAAAAAAAAGAAATTAGTCATTCTTAGTCAATTCATACAACATACAGACCTGAATAGTAGTGGATTAATAAGATAATGGTCTTGATTTGCCCATCCAACAGATCAAAACCCAAACATATTCAATTTACTGGGAAATACAACTGAGAAAAGTGGAAAATCATCATATTTTAGAGGCTGAAAACAGGAGACCAGTCAAGTAATCAACTAATCCTAGCGGCTCCAGGAGCACCCTGGGTAACTGAGCTACTCGATGATCAAGAAGCTTGTTGCCAAAAAGAACCATACCTGACTACCATGATGTCACATTTCCCCACTGATGCAGTTTCATTTCCTAAGAAGAAGCCAAGCAAGCACCAGAACGAAACTTTCCCAGATCTGTCCGACATCTGCGAAAGACTCTTGTGTGTGCCAAAAATCTATGCTACCCAGCTACACTTTTAAACCTCATCAAACTGAAGTCATGGAGGAAAAACAAAGCAGCTTATCACCAAAATCACTGTAAACTGGATCCCACAGAGTCTAGAACTGATCACAGTAAAGTTGTGATTGATGTCCTGGTGTGTTTTTGGTGAACTTTCTTCTGTTCAGTCCTTTTAAACAAAATCAAACATGTCTTCTTTTAGCGACAAAAAGTACCAACTGCAACATCCACATTGACAAAACTTAATCAAACCTCACTGTGGCTCAATTCAACCACTTCTCTTTCGTCAGCACTTAGAACCAATCTGACAAAAGCCTGAAAAACTGCATAAATAATCATACTGATGCATATCAAGGACCATACATATCAAAGCTTGTGGGCCAGCACATCAAAGAAGCTTCACGCAGCCGCTGTCCTAATTCACATTCATGTTGGACTGTGCAGAAGCCAGCAGAAAATCTTTCGTATCCATAAACAGTCTGGACTGGGCCTACTGATGGATTAACTGGTTACAGAGAGGAAAACAAACACAGTTCGAACAGTTTTAGCTCAGAAGTGGGTATATGAATGAGCAAAGCAACATCAACATTAATGATTTATTTATTTTTTTCTACTAAACAGAAATCCTGGCTGCTGGTGTACTGGACCTACGGGGCCTTCGTTGCACTGTGCTGTAGTCTGAACAGTTCAGTGACCCTGAGATCTTCATCAGTGCAATGACATAATCACAGAAATGCTGCAAGTTGCACTTATTTCTCACCTTTGTTTTCTAAGTTCCTTTCTGAATCTTATGTGAATCAGAGGATAGAATACACAGTGTGCACTATTTTGAGCTGTGTTCACTCTGTACACTAAATATTTTTTGTAAAAGAATCTCAGGTGTCACCATGGTCTTGAAACCAGGTCTGACCTTGCAGGTGGCAGGGGACGTCGTATTCAATCTCGTCATGGCGTGAGGGGCTGAGGAACAGAGTCCCATCAACCAAAGGAAACCGCTCGAACACGGGCAGCGCCCGGTGACACAGAGCACAGTTGACCACGTTCCTCTGGCTCGCGCTGAGGGCTGACAGGATAAACCTACAGGACAACGTGCACAGACTTAGAGCATCAAGGGCAGATCAACTGCAAACAATCTCTTTCCTTTCACTGGTGTGACAGAGAATAAAAACATGTAAGGTGAAGAAGACAGATTCCTCTGATACACGTAAGATTAAACATGTAGGGTGAAGAAGCAGACAGATTCCTCTGATACACGTAAGATTAACTGTCATCTTGAGCACCTCCAACATCTTACCTGCATAGCAAAACATTTAGTGTTCAGCTCAATTTGTCTATGGGGCATTTCTTTTTTTAATGACATTATGCATAAAAGATGTCTTCCTGAGTCAGATTAAGGTTGTTGCTTTCTTCAATAAGAATCTATTTTGTCACCAATATCAGGATGTCCCAATAATTCCCTAAAAAGCCTCCAGTTAATCCAAAATGCTGCAGCCAGAGTACTGACAGGAACTAGCAAGAGAGATCATATCTCTCCCATATTAGCTTCTCTCCACTGGCTCCCTGTAAAATTCAGAATAGAATTTTAAATCCTTCTCCTAACATACAAAGCCCTTAATGACAAGGCTTCATCGTATCTTAAAGACCTCGTAGAGCCTTATCATCCTAACAGAGCACTTCGCTCTCAGAGTGCAGGTTTACTTGTGGTTCCTAGAGTCTATAGAAGTACAATGGGAGGCAGAGCCTTTAGCTATCAAGCTCCTCTCCTGTGGAACCAGCTCCCAGTCTCAGTTCAGGAGGTGGACACCCTCTCTACAATTAAGATAGGATTGAAACTTTTGTTATGCTGCTATAGGCCCAGACTGCTGGGGGTCCTCCTATGATGCTCTGAGGTCCCCCCCTCCTCTCCTCTCTCTTCATACATCACTACCTGTGTGTCTCCTCTCTCTCTCTCCCTGTACCTTTCTGCAGGTTGCCCTGGCTCTGGAGCTCTATGTTTCTGATCACCAGTCACCGGCCACATCAACGTGCCCAGTGTTTATTTGTTGTGTCTTGTTGCTCTTCTTTTCTTTTCTCTCTCCTCTATCCACTCACCCAAACTGGTTGAGGCAGAAGGCCGCCCACCAAGAGCCAGGGTCTGTCAGAGGTTTCTTTCGTTAAAGGGAGTTTTTCCTCCCCACTGTCGCCAAGTGCTTGCTCAAGGGGGATTTGTTGGGTTTTCCCTATGTAATAATATTGATAACAGTCAAAATGCCTTGATTTTGTTGTGATAGGGTGCTATACAAATAAAAAGGAATTGAATTAATATTATGTTAAGTAGTCACAAGGATATCAGATATGTGACAATTGTGAATGAGAAACAGACAACTCTGTTTTTATGATAAGACATTAAGTATAAGACAGAGTAAAATGTAACGAAGCATGATGTTCCAGAAGCCCTACCTGCGCAGCTCTTCCCCCTGGCCTGCCTGGGCATCGTCTTCCATGCGAACATGGTAGGTGTTGAGTTTATGTCGAGGGATGTGGGTGAGGAGCTCCGAGAGGTCCAGCCTCCTCAGGAACTGCACCGGATGAGGGTGGGTGCCATCAGTCACGTTGGCAGAGGTGAGCCGGTGGGCAAAGGAGAGAGGCAGGGGAAGAACAGACCCAGGGTCGAGGTGAGGTCCACCTCCGCCACCAGAGGCTCCCGCCGAGCAGGCACCACCGCGGGCAAGAGCACCCCCTACCAGAAGGTGTTTCCTCTGAGGGTCCATGTGGACAGCTGTTTTGAGGAACTCTCCTAGTTGACGGGAACCTCGCAGACCTGCTCCTCCACCTCCCGATCCGAAAGCAGCAGTGGGGAAGGAGAAGCCAGTAGGAGGAGACTGTCCTGGGGAGTCACATGGAGATTTCTGAGGAGGCCCCAGAGGAAAGGGTCCTCCTGTAGCATTTCCTCCCCCTGCTGCTGCTGCTGCTGCTCTCTCTGTAGAGTTCTGCCGGTCCAATGATTGTCTTCGAGGTAACTCCTGACTAGATGCTCTGTGGGACAGTCTACCTCCTCCCCCTGCCCCACCTGGTGGTTTGCTTTTCCTAGGCTCATCAAAAAACCCATCCCCAGACCCCACAGACCCTCCACTCCCGGTCTTGCCTGTGCTCCTCTCAGATGGCTTCTTCTTGCGTTCATCCTGCATGCGTTTGACTTGATACCAATCAGTGTCTTTCTTTAGGTGGCCCTGGCCGCAGCGGCACGAGCAAAACCTGAAGGCCAGGTCATAACCCTTCTTGGTCCACATGTTCTGGCGGCACTGCTTCTCGTTCCACGACCGTGCACGACCGATGCAGTTGAACTGGATGAGGATGGAGCTCTCCCACTCGTAGAAACACTGCAGATGCATCCAGTTGCCATAAGGGCAGAGCTCGTTGTTGCAGAGCACCCGCTGGTAGTCGTCCTTCTCCAGGTCGATGGCCCGGCCCAAGCTGCAGCCAAGAGGGGTTGCACACTGGACCTCTGAATGAGTAAATACAGGACGGGGGAGGAGAGGGGATGAGTTTGTTGTGTTCTCATCAGTTTCACAAAGAAGCCTAAATTATTGTGTTCACCTGTGTAACACTTTACAGATTCTAAATCTGCAACTAATGATTATTTTCATTCTCTCCAAATCAATCAGTCATTTAGTCCAAAATGTAACATCCTCAGTTTTGGCCCAGTCACCAACCTGGTTCTAGACCCAGCCCCTTGCCTTTGTTCTCTTTTCCCACCCCTACTCACCTGTTTCTCATGTGTGTAATCATCTCCCAGCATGTAAGCAAACAGCTAGCACTCACTCTTTGCCACTCTCACCTTCGTTCTGTGGTGTTTCTTCATGATCAGACTTTGTTGCCAGTACGGATTGTTCCTGGATCTCATCTATGCCGACTCCTCTTTGAACTGTTTGTTTCATCTGTGTTTTGGACTCGTTCTTATTCGTGGTTCTGGTTAGTTGTGTTATTTTTGTTTGTTCTGTGTCTTTGCCTGAGTCTGCCTTGAGAACGAACTGTAGTTTCCTGTTACCTTCGCCAGAGTGGCATGATGTAAATTTCACGATTTCTTGAGTTAACAGAGAAAGTTACCTGTTTAGATTTTTGTGTTAATTAGGTTTTATGAAAAGCTTGCCTTTAGTTTACTCCTGCTATTCTCACCCGCTGCCACTGTGACTTGTCCTGATTCTATTATTAAAGACTCCCAACTTGAAAAAGAACAGGCAGAGGCGAGATCCAAGAACATCCTGGACACGAACAAACGCCGGTCAGTCACTGTCAAAGAACAAGGTGAGAACGTGGCAAAGAATGAATGCTAGCCACTGGCTGATATGGTGGGAGATGATTACACAGATGAGAACAGGTGAGTAAGAGCAGGAAAACACAACAAGGGCAGGGGGCCAAAGACAGCTCCCACACAAAATTTGAGCAGTTGAAAATGGAAGATATGTTATTTTTTCATTAAAAATTACTTAAACAAGTAATCACATCATGTTATTTAAGCTGGATATATATATATATATATATATACACACACACAGTACCATTAGAGCAATGCGTCTCCATCATAAGCTACATTAGCAAGACCAACCTTATCAGCAGCACAAGACGAGGTGAAAATGTCAAGTGTCCTCACTGCCTTGTCTGCAGTCAGTTTATAAACTCAACTATAGGCCATCCAAACCTGTGACTGGTTCTGTTCGAGCCCTGCCAATCGTCAAGTCTGGATATGAATTGAACATATGTGAGCACACATTGTCTACAAGAAGCAGCTCATGAGAATACACTGTAGGTGGGTGGGTGGGTGTGTTTGTGTGTGTGGGTGGGGTGTAGTAGTAGTTTCCTTTCCTCATCCCTTTTCCGGTATACTGTCAATACTTCTCTCTACAATCACCACAAAATGCAGAAAAATATGCTTAACCATGCATTTTCAGTTTTGTTGATTAGTTGATTTAACAAAACACTATACAAAATCCTAGTTACACTAGACAAGAAAAAGCAAATTGGCACATTTGAGAAGCTGCAACCACCAAATTGTCGGCATTTTGCATCATACCGGACAAACTGTTCATCCGTTATCAGATCAAATTAGTTTTCTGATAATGAAGCATTCGCTTCAGTGCAACTTCACAAGGATAAGCTATTACTAAAATAAATTTACAGTCTTGAAAGATAAATATACATACATTTAATTAGGATGACTAATTTTATCATCGTAATTATTACGTAGCTTGATAAGAGAAGTGCACTGATATAGCACGTTATAATCCTTATTACAATGTAATAAATATCACAGTATCCATACTGGGCTTGTGATTTTGACCTTTGCACTTGTTCTAAAGATGAATAATTTCTTAGTTTACACATGATGTGAGATCCCCGCCCACTAACTCAAACCAAATTTGTACATGACCAAGGTGAGTCTTTTCTAGATACTGTACTGTACCTCTGCATGGGATGAAGATGAACCTGAGTGTGCAGACACCTGGTCAGTATTTATTACCCCTGAGCAGGAAGGCCATAACCAAAAACTGTGAACAAGGTGCACGAAAGGAAAATCCAGCTGAGGCCTGCATACCAACTGTATCAGCCATCTATTATTAATGTAGATGTCATAATATTTAAACGAGTGTTGTGTCATCAAGACTCCTTGAGGCTAAATTTGACAACACGGAATTGTGTTCATATCTGATAATCCTTCTTTTTTATTAATGATAATAATAATAATAATGACCTTTATTTGGCCAAAAGGAATTTACTTCCGGTACAGAACCGAGGCAGCCATCTGCGGCGCCAACTCAACCGATGGCTCTAACCATCGGGGGCAACTTGGGGGTTCAGTGTCTGGCCTTCGACACGTGGACTGCAGGCACCGAGACTCGAACCTTCGACCCTCCGGTGGGGAGACGACTGCTGTACCCACTGAACCACAGTCAACCCCCAAGAGGGCGCTAAACCCCATTGAAGCATTTTACAATTTAAATATCTCCTGCAAAACAGGCACACTTTAACCTGTTCTGACATATCGAATTTTATTTTTACTAAACAACAACAGTCGCTCTGTAATTCGGCTTACATCTGACACACCAAGTGACACTTTCTTCAGTAATATTTCAACTTGTTTCTCTGCTGTTCCTTCAGTCTTCTCGTACCCAGACAAACCTTTTATGCCTTTAAAAATCATTGCAAAGCAATTACACAAACCGAGATTTTAGTGCAGTTCAGTATTAGCTACTTGCTGCTTCACATATACACCGACGACCCAAAAAAATCACCCCGTATGTGCAAGGCCTTAAGTCGTGATCGACCAACGTAGCCTGTATTTTCCGATAGTCAACGACCCATTAAATTAACAGCATTTTAAATAGAAGTTTGGCACGGCGTTCTCTCCCATCTCCTAGCACGAAAGACGTATAGGGGGAGAGAGATTTGCAACGTCGCAGTGCATGTATGTCACAGTCGCACAGACAAGACAGAGCGTCCCTTGGCAGGAAGGCAGCATCACCAAACTTCTCTACATCTGTGTCCGTTTCCTCTCTTACCACTCGAGCGCTCGTTCCTGGGTGCAGCCGCGGCGGCCGCGCCTCCTGTTGCAACCGCACAGGCTCCATTTTCCTGCTCGTCTCCGCTACTGTTAGTCCGTTTGCTTTTCTTTCCCTTGTTGTTCTTCTGGTTGGGCATTTTACAAGGTTCGGATGTCAGTGTTATTTTCGACCTCTATCAACGACTGCGGTCCACGCTGTCTGACATTTCTGTGGACTCCATTTCTGCAATGGACTCTGGTATTTTTTACAGTTTTTGCTCTTTGTGTAGCTCGTTTTGGTCTCCTCCTGGACGACTAGCAGGTATTTGTGCAGCTCTTTCAGCAGCAGTTATAAAGATTAAGCTGCTATAACCTTAAAAAACGAAGGCGTGTCCGTCTCTTGTTTTGATTCCTGCTCTAATGTTTTCTTCCACCCCCTGACGTCACAGGATCCCGCCCTCCATCATTGACTGTGTGAGCGAGTTATGATGCATTCAACTCCCGTGGGAAAGCTCGGACGTAATATGAACTCAAATGCTTTGATTTCATTAACCTTTTTGTTTTATTCTGTTGGTTGTCCAAAACAATTCTTTTGAAGTTGTCAGCAAGACTTCTTAGAAATGTAACAAACAAAATGTAACAAGTTTTGATTATATTATTTTAATCCTGAAAAGCATTACAAATTCCAGTTTTGTGCATCAACTATTTCTTATGAAAGACAAGTTTTGGAGTTCTTTAAGCTGAGAAAATTCATTATTGAAAAAATAAGTGTTACATTCCTGATTGAAAATTCATTAAAGGATTTGTCCTTAGATTTCTAAAATCATTGGTCTAATAAGGTTCTATTACAAATGATCAACAATCATCAGTAAATATGTTATGTCACTACTTGCTAAAGACCTACTAAAACAATTTAAGATGTTTACTTACGGTAAACACAACTGTGGCAACTTAACAGAATTATCCAATTTCGGGTCACTGAAATGTGGTTTGATGTCCCACAGTACCTGAATGCAGCAGAGACATAAAAAGAGATAATCAGTGTCACATACTTGAGGGGGAGGCATCACTGTCTTATTTAGGAGATAGTTTATTAGCCTGGGTGATATTTCAGGGCTGGATTTCTCACCCTGTCTCCTACATGCAGTGTGTCAACTTAATGTACAGTATTTTACTTGAAGAATGTTTATAGCTAATGTACATTTCAGTGAAAAGATGTATTCAAATCCATTCATATCTGTGTGCAGTAACTGGAACTTTTAAAACAGTAAATGAATCCAAATACCTATAGAAGCATCACTGGTGTTAAAATTTAATCAAAGATTTTAACTGCAGAATGAAAAGTTTGACAAGACAACATATAAAACTCCAAACTCCATTCACTAAATTTATGATTTGAAGATTTCTTGCTTATTAGGTACTATTCAAATCAGATAAAATGTATGCTACTACACAGTTCTTCAGTTTATCTTATATCTAACACACCAAATGGCACCTGTTTCAGGAATATTTCAACTTGTTTGCTTGCTTTTACTGAAACCTCCATGCACCAAAACACATCCCAGTGGCCCCTAAACAATCAATACAAGCCATTTACCAAAAGTGTATAACCGAATACAATCTACTATGAGAAAAACAAAACAATATAAGGTCATTGCATTTCCCAAGATTGTCATGTTTCAAGTGTGACAAATCAACACAAGTCAAGCAATATTTTTCTCAGATTAGGAATACACTGTTTTAAATAGAGTATATTTAATAAAATGGGATTCCAAGTCTATCTTAAAATAAAAAAAAAAAAAGGAAAAAAAAAGCACAGTAAATCAGATTCAAGGCTTCCAGTGTAAAGATTTTATTCCGAAGTACCCCTGTTCTTATAGAAAACAAAACAGAGTAATAACACACTTGAACACATCATGCAGACATCCCACTAGTTCACTGAAACAGCTCGAGGTATTGGCACTGCTCTGATTGTGACCTTGTTCTTTTGCTTAAGTGTGTAACTTGTGTTATTTGCATTTGTGTTTAAAATTTCCTGGTAACCTGCTCCAAAGAAGTGCACAGTGAATGCAATAACAGCAGGATAAGCTTTCCAGGCATGTTTCTTCCTCACTACTGGTCCAATCGTTCCACAACTTTTCTGACTTGGTGCATTAGTTTTCTTATGATTACTTATAACTCATGCAATTTTTTTCTTCCTCAAAACTGTTCGCAATCAAGCAGCAGTCTCCTATACGGTTTAGAAAAAAAAAAATTCGATCCAAATTTAGACAAACACTCGACACTGAACCCAAAAGATGCAGCTAGGTTGACACAACAGCAGTGACTGTGGCATGGGTCTTATAAAACTTGCAGATAAGGGGTTTCACAGGTCCTACCTCACCGCAAGAAGCAAACAGCTTCCACGTACATTCAGGATAAATATACTTGGCTGTTTGTCCTCCTGATGTATTTTAAGGACAAATCTTTTCTCTCAAATAGAAAAAGCTGCAGCAACTTACCAAACATACTGAGGTCCCAAGTGGTCAAAATTAAATAAGTGATTATCACCAAATCAGTCATACATATATAGATAAAATATGAGAAATGGGAAATTGCGAAATAAAACTGCCGGAACTAAATACATTAAAAGGTTTCATGAAAAGAAGCAAGATGAGATAATATTTCATAAAACTGATCCAAGTTTGGATTATTTCATGTTTTGTCTGCATTTGTTTGTATGATTATTTATTTCACAGGGTCTTAATTATTGATTTAAAAGTTTGACCACTTTGGGCCTCCATATAAAGCAAATGTATTTTGGATTTTTTAAAAATATTTTTTCTTATAAAATTGCAAGTGTTGTTTTTGAGATGCAAACTGGTCACACTTCATCTGCAAGTATCATCAGACCTACAGTACAGAATAAACAGCAGTACAACTGAAAATAAAACTTTTATATCCTGTGTCACAAGTAAGACACTGAATTTATGCCACCGGATCACTGTGTGAAATATTTTGGTTGCGTTGATTTGGTCCTGAGAATCATTACAAATGCACCTTGTCCACAAATGCACAAATAAATATTGCATGAGAAATACATTCATCATTTGTTCATCAAGTATTTCTTATGAAAGGCAAATTCATTACTGACGACATAAAAAAAGATGGAATAAAAACTACTCTATTGTGATGAGTACAAAAATTTAAAGGTACAAAAGTCTTCCTTAAAATGCACTTGGACTGTCAAAATTGTAGTAGTTTCTATAGAGGAAATGTTCTTAGTTTTCCAAAGCACTGGTCTAATAATGTTCTATTACAAAGAGGTAGTATAATTGGCTCACATACACAAATTTTATGGCCATTTGTCGACACTCTACCTGTTGTCTTAAAGCTGTGCTAAATTTCTATGTAAAAATAGTCATTTTTAATTAACTCTCGCCTCCACTTGAAGCGGGTAAAGGGAGAATTTGCCTAATGCAGCTTTAAAAGATCAGTGCTCCAATTAAACCTCTGAAGATGTTTATCAGAATTGGTAAGTCAGGAATTTTACCCTGTGTGTACATTATCCTGACAGTGTTACCATCAAGAGAGGTATTTGGTTATGACAATTCCCCACTACTGTAATTTTCCCAAAAACTAACAAGAGTAATTACATTCCTGATTTTTGCATCTTAAAAGCATACCAAAATGACATTTTAGACCTGTGGCTGATAAAACGGAAGCCTGAGAAAGAGAGAAACACCACTTTTCCTTGTCATCCGGAACTATGACTGTGGTTACTGTAAAATATTCTGAAATTGGGCACATTAAAATCAAATGACATCATATGCAGACATGCCAGTCGGGTCCATTCATATATTGCTAGGTCTAATCTGTTTGGTCATTGTGTTTGAGTTCAAATACTGAGCCTTATTCATGGAGGAGGATCAGCCGGTACACTAAGGCTCAGTATTCAGACCCACAGTCACTAGAAAACCATCTGATCCAAAGACTCTAGCCTCATTCTTGGAGCAGGACAATATCAACGTTGTCGTGGACCCCTTGCAGAAGCAACTCGCCTTGGAAGTTGATCACCTTCTTTTTCTTGGCAGCCTTCAGGGTGCCCACCAACGCCTCAAAGATATTGGCACAACGGTCGTCATTAAACAGAACCCCAAACTTCACGCTGGTTTGACCATCAGCATCTGAAATAACAAGTTAGCCAAGACTGATAAAAGTAATTTCTCAAAAGGAAAATGCCTGTTTTATGACAAATTATTATGAGGCTTAGAAGCAGTTCTGCTATGCTAAAGATAAAACACATCATCCTCCAATACAGAACCATAGCATGGACTCACTTTTACTCCCAAGCCGCTTAATCTCCTGCACCAGCAAATTTATTTCATGAGAGACATTCATTGTTGCTAGAAAGGGAAAATAAATCAAGAGACATACATATTAATGTAAATAGACTATAAATACACTATAAACCTTAACATATTTTTCGTTAAGGGCCAACCCTCAATTCGGCAAACACTCAGGCCAGCAAAAAGCATTTCTTTCAATAACAATGACAGCTTTCTAACTGACATCAGACAGACTGGGCAAACATCGCAAGTATGAAATAATTGAGATGATTGAAATCAGTGAAACTAATATCTATACCAAATTTCGCAAAAGAGGGAACTAAAGTAATTCAGAGAAAGTCCTAACTTTACTCTACCCATGACCAGTGGTGGAAGAAGTACTCAGGTTTTTTTTTTAACAGGTGTAAAAAATAGCAATAAATAATTAGTGATGCATTACTGTGTTCATAACATTTAATGTTGCAGCTGGTAGAGGTGGAGCTAATGTTAATTAGGCTACCTTACATATCCTACTTATAATCTGAAGTACTGCTGGGTAGCTTGTGAATTTCCCATCAGGGATTAATAAAGTTTTATCATTACACTGCATTTTCAAAAGTTAATCTGAAAAGTAACTAGTTACCAATTAAATGCAGTAGCATTAAAAAGTACAATATCCCACCTCTGAAATGTAGTTAAGTCAAAGTATAAAGTACAAATACCTCAAAACTGTACTCCCGTACTATAATGTAGTAAATACATAGTTCCACCACTGCATGACTACATTTGGTTATCAGCAAGACAAATCCATTTTTCCTGAACAGTGACCCGAGATTCTCCCCTCTGAGGAAAACGGTTACTGAGGTCATGAGGGCAGCACAAGTTCAATTTCTGTTCATTAATAGAAGCTATAGCATTAAACGCAGCATCAAAATGTGACTGAGAAATATAACTGTATTCAGTTGAATGTAACAAGCTACAACATGAATAGGGAGGACTGTCAATGCGGAAGTAAGTGATTAGCAGAGACCTAACCACCGCAAGGCACAAATACTTGTTGTAATGCATTACTTTTAGTAAGGTGTATTCTATCCCGTGTGCGGATTCAGATTCACAACATGCTCTGTATAACTTCGGATAGAGTAGAAAATATTCCAGTGAACAACAGACGTGGGCTCGCCGGCATTGTCAGTAACGTTAGCGTCTCTAGACAAATAACCTGCTGAGAGAACATAAGAGAAGTGCTGAGATCGCTAAACGGATGTAATGTGTGCTGAAAAAAATGTAGTAAAAGTCGATATCAAACAGGCTTAAAAGAGCATTTACATGTGCATGTTTACCTCGTTTCTTCCAATTCTTCTAGCTTGTAATGAGGTGATGGACTTTCTGATAAATGGGCACCACCGGTGGATAATGTTGCTGAGTTCAGTGTCTGCTCGGAAACTTCCACCCTACTTTGGTTAGAACTCAAGTAATGAAGTAGCAAAGGACCCGCCCAGTTGTTCATTCAATGGGAGCAGGAAGAGTGAATGCTACATTGCAAACAGGGCAACTTCTCACGTTTACACCATATCATTTTGGTCTACAGCTATTGGTTTCTTTGTTTGTTTGTTTTGCTAACAGGGACTTTACAGTTAAAGGCCTACAGATACAGTAAGTAGTGTAACAGGTATGTCCCTATGGTGTCTAGCTGAAACAGTATATAAGATTTTCATCCCCGTTTTCCTAATAATACTTCTTTACTTTTAATAAAGTGCATTTTTGAATACAGACCTTTCAAGCTGTTGTAGCCTTTGTTGCATAAGTACAGAATCTGAACAGTTTGTGTCACAGAAACATTTAATATAAACAATTGAAACTTATAACATGCTGAAAACTAAATCTCTAATGCAATTATGCAACAAATTGCCTGCGCACGATGAGAGATTTGCCATAAAAAAGACACTTAAAACATCCCCATAATTAAATATATTAATGACAGTTATAACATTTCAGAATGTAGGTTTTTTGTTTTATTATAATTGTTTCTTTTAGGTGCTTTCATATTTCCCATAACAATTTAAGGCACCAAAAGCTCATCTGACTCCATTGTGACAACGCGATACTTTCACTAACCCATAAATGGCATGTAAGAGCTACAGTAAGAGATGTAAAATGTAGTTTTGTTTTAGCTATAAGAATTTATGGATACTTTTGTGCTCCTTGTAAAACCCGTGAAATTATATACTATCTACTATTAATTACTAATATGTTATTAAGTAACAGTGAGTGATCTAGATCTGAATAATACTCTCACGACAGTAAATTTTCTCGTCTCTATTAATTCATGTCATAGTATGAGTGCAGCATTTATTTTGAAAACACTCATCCGTGTCCCTACAGGCCAAACAAGATCGCGCTGACTCGGTCTGTACCCCTGTGACGTCGCGAGACATCAAGCTGGACGTAACTGACCAAAATGAGACCACATGTTTGACAGTTTCTCTTCAGAACAAAAGAGTAACTTTGTGTAGGGGAACCTGTTTATGTAATTATTTATTTATGTAAAATAAGACTAGAAACATTGAAACAACATTTGATATAGTCAGTTTTTTTATGTATGGTTTTCACGATTAGGTAAAGTAGTAATGCAGCTGGAGGATTACATGTCAGTCAGTATTGTGCACCCAACACACACACCACCCTGCTCCTCCCTCAGACTGCGCACAAGTCGCGTATGAATATATATACACCATAATGCCCATTTGCATACGGCAAAGGAAGTCTAATCTCCCACACATTTAATCCAAATAAAGTGTAACTAACACTAAAACTGTAGCCTCACCACCGAAATGCAATCGCAGAGAGATAGGAAACTGATAAAATCATTTCGTAATCTCAATACACCCACAATTTCACACAGGGTCCCTCAATAGGACTGGAGTCACAAGATGAATAATAGACCTGTCATAATTGATATTTGTAGTCGTACAGATTTCCAACTAATTTGCATTTAAACAAACTATGTACGCCTAAACCATATGGAATTCCTCGATTTGCCTGGGTGGTAATCCATTTTTGGTTCTGGGTACGAAACTATCAACTGTAGTTGAAGTGTACGTCAAGGGTTCTTTTATTTTGAAGAATTATATCGGTTTTTTTTTTTTTACTCTCTGGGTTACTTGACAGTGGTGGTAGGAATGGCGGCTATGATTACTAGAGGAAGGAGCCCAAAGACCCTGAAACTTTACTTCTAACGGCCCCGTAGAGGAATTTGTTTCCAACCAAACACAGATACGCCATCCAGTAACGGATTAAAGGGGGAATACGTGTTACAACGCGAGATTAACACGGTAGATGTCCAGGCTGAGGTGGTGGACGCACTTTGCGACTTGCTAGTTAGCTTAACGTTAGTGCCTCTGACTTTGATTCAAGGTAGCAGTTAGCACGCTGCACTATTAGCCAGCTGTTGGTCACTTGGCTTGGCTGGCCCAACAAGTTAACTAAGTGAGCAACTGTATGAAAGCGTTCCTTAATTTAATTATTTTAGTGGTAATCTGGTCTCTTTGTCAACAGATAGTATTAAGGACTTTTACAGAGAGTGGGATCGGATTACAACAAGTCGACATATCGTGTTGTGAACATTATTACTGCTAAGCTCAACGTTAGCTAGTGCACTAACGCTAGCTAAGTTGGGATCCTCAAGTCTCGCCCATTTTTGGATCCTGCCCCAGCCATTGGCTAAGGGCTAATCAACAGCCAACTAGTCTGGTTTTTAGGTCCGATTGGTACTACGATGGAAAGTCTAACGTTGAGCGATGTTGAACAGAAATATTACTCGGAGTTGTTTATTTACTGCGACACGGACAACACTAAAAAAGTCGCTTCCAATGGGAGAGTTCTTGACCTTTTCCGGGCGGCCCAGCTACCCAGCGAAGTTGTCCTGCAGGTAAGCTAGCGTTAGTGAGTGGCAGCTCCTCAAGTGTTTTAATTAGGCTCCGAAGCTGGCCACGCAATGTAGAGCTTGTAATTGATATTTTACAAACTTGCCTGGCTGTCAGAGCGGACCTGTCAGCCAGTATAGCTATAGTTAGCCTGGGTCGTTAGCAATGCTGCGCAGCAGAAGGGACACACCTTCTGGCTAATGCTAGCCATAGCAAAAGAGAGTAGGAGGTATTTCACATATTTAATCTTAGCTAAAATGTTTGGCACTAACTGACATTTTATACATATGACAGAAGCTAGTATGTGTGCTCTTCGAGTGTCTTTTTAACGTGTTGATCAGTGCCAAATGTTTAAAACAAGCTGTCCTCATCAGCTCCTTGCCTCAGGTTAATTTCCCGTCTTCACTCTCCATCAACATCTATTTTGTTCGTCACCGGGTCTATCTGACATGGTGGAAATGCAGAACCAGTGTCACAGTATCCACTTTAAAAGTTGCCTCCTAACTTGGTGTGGCTCAAAAATCCATGGATGAAGAGCCTGTTTCCTAACACAGACACCGACCCATAGATACATTTCTTTCTTGTCAAATTACAGTCTTCATGTCATGGTTATACCACTAATAATCCCATCCAGACCTTCCCAGCTCTGTCTGTTAACTACATGAGTAATGAGTATCCAGTTAAACTGCAGCATCCCATTCTTGTGACTTCAGGGCTCTCAACAGGCCAGTATTTGCAGTTTGTGAGTCAGCATCCTTTTCAAGGTCAACAAGGGGAACTTTGTAGTGGAAGAATTAGGCAGTGTTGTAATCCTGCACTTTCAAAATGTGCACTGAACACTGCTGTGGCCTGTGAGATATACAGCTACAGTGTCATGTTGCAACAAGCTGAGAAAAGTGATTGGTACGTTGTATCCACACATACTCAGAATAAGTCCTTTGTCAGCAAGAAAGGGATCAGTCAGGGGGGGAAGAGGAATAAAGTAGAAGTGTTCCACAGCTAGTCATACATTGTCACAGAATTTTTAATTGTATCATGATTGAATTGAATCGTACACATCATATCATATCATATCAAGAAAAAGTCACATCTTCCCATCCCTCCTGAAAACTCATATAAGAACATCTGCACCAAATGTTGTGTGTATGCAGAGGTTACTTATTGTGAGTGGTTTCAGTCTGGACTCCATGATGTGTAAAACTTGGAAAACAAGTTGTTACAACATGTACAAAAAGGTTAAAAAGGTTAAGTTATAAAGTAACGTAGATGACGGCTGGTTACATTAGGCAGTTCAGTAAACATGCCACAGTTTACAGGACTGTTGAATTAAATCGAGTCAAAACTGAATTGAATGGAAAGATCAGTATCAACATGAGTCACACTCAAGATCTGACAATGAATCGAGTAAATAAATTTGTTGTTTGACTTAACCTCTAGAGTCCCTGCGTCCTCATATGAGGACGCAGGGACTCTAGAGGTTAAAGCTGGATTTTTGTGTATGTACATTTTACATGGTCTGTTTTTCTGAAGCTCTTATCTAAAATAGTTTTATACTGCTGCTGGTGACCACTATTGTTGGAGCGAAACCTAATCTTTTGTTTCCTTGAGTAGCTCTTTGATACTGTTCCTAGTATCAGTAGTGGGTCATATCAAAGTTTCACATGAATACAGCATTACTGACTGTTCCCCTGTGTCCTTGTGTGTGGGTTTAGATCACAGAGCTGTGCGGAGCCACTAGGCTGGGTTACTTCGGGCGCAGCCAGTTCTACATTGCTCTTAAGCTTATTGCCATTGCCCAGTCCGGGCTCCCCCTGAGGGTGGAAAGCCTCAACTCGGGTGAGTCCACAGTTGAATTTAATCATTGTCACCATTAGGTGCCTGTTTGGCCTGTTCTGTTTCTTCAGGAAACCCCTCTCATAGCAGCAGGAACAAATCCCCAAAGAAGACTAACAGAACATTAGGTTCTCTGACAAGTGCCACTAGACTTTTCTGTTTAACTGAAAGCTGGGACTACATGAGGCTGTTGTTCTCTTTTTGCTGCTCCAGTCTCGTTACTGTTTGTTGTTTTAGAAATGAGATTAGTGAATTTTGAGGAGGTCATGGGATAGAAAGCATGGTGCAGCTGAGAAGCATTAGCTTGGCATCTTGTTTTCTATTGTTCTTTTACTGGAAATAATTTGTTTATTCCCATAAAACTCGAATAGATTTTTAAATATATGGACTATGCTCAAAGACCAAGTTGTCTGTACACATATGAAACATTTAAATGAGCCAGCTTTGTGCAGAATGTCTTTGAGGAAAAAAGTCTGATGAGGATGAGCTTCATATTTGTAGCACTTGTTTCATGTGTACAATTTATGTTCAGATGATTATTTTAAGACAGATATGTGCATCTTTTTGTTGCTTGATGCAGGACACTGGACATTTCATTGCTGATTATGTATTTATATGGGAATAAAAACTGTTGACTTTATGCAAAAACATTCCAATTAATATAATAGTATATTATCATAAAGTGATTTTACGCACTGTATGTCAGGCATTCTGTCTTGCCTGTTGATGTAGTCCAATAGCTGTGTTGTCAGGTGCTTGACAACATTTCTGTTTATATTAACTAGAGTTTAGAGTCTAAGCTATCCATTTAAATGCAGAGTTGCAATTTTCTGTTTGCATTCGGTGTGACTTCTCTCAAGGGAGGAGGTCACAGTCACTCAGTACATGAAGCTACTTGTTTAGGCTCAATTATTACAACATGAAGTTGCTGAATTATTTCAAAATTTGATAAAAATATAAGGAAGCACAGAGGCCATTTCCTTAAAGCAAAAATGGCATAATGCACAGTCTAATTGTTAGTAGATATGAGCATGTTTCAGCATCAATTATGGATAGAATTGGGTTACAGATGTTCATTTACCAGTCTTCACGGTCATGCTGAGATATTGAACAAACTTATTCTTTTAAACCCATGGCTTTCAGGAACTAAAGCTTTCAAAGGTGTACGATGAGCAGCCAGAAAACCCATTTTACATGTAGAATATGAGTTTAATATTGATTCAGTTGCTGTGGGCTTTTTAGAAGATAGCCCATAGTGCATATTGTTCTGTGTTTTCAGCTACATGTACTCAGGTCTATTAGCCCCCACGCACTGGCGTTTTCATTTCAGTTGAACCCAGGGCTTTGCTGTTTGCTGTGAAAGATCTTGAAATAGCTCTCACATAGGGTTGCAATGTTATGAGATTGTCACAGTATGATAACAGTCTGAGAAAATATGATATTACAGTTACTGTATTATCAGGTACAGTGACCCTCAGAAGAATGAAACAGGTGCAGGTGAGTGTGCCAGTCGATTGAACTGGATTACAGATAGGTGACAGATTAGGAAAAATCAAAGTGTCTTAGTAAGGTGTCGTTATCACAGACTGATGAGATCTGACAGTTGTGAGTGAGTCTTGTCTTCAGGATTAGCTCCTGAAATCATTACGCAACAAGTCTTTCCTCTGACCTTGTGAATGGATTCCTGTCTCACAGTCAAGGATCTGCCGCTGCCCAGGTTCGCGGTTGGAAAAAATGAGGCAGAAGTGAGACACACAGCGCTGTACCAGGACACAGACAGCCAGGGGATGTACCCAGCCTCTGGTACTGCAGTAATACCCAGACCGCCAGGCAGGGGTTACCAGAACAAGAAAGGCCCTCCATCATCCACTTCACTTCCTGTCCACGAGGTTGTCCAACCCCTGGCACCCACCATAGAGTCACAGGTGTGTGATTCTACTTTGCCTGTGTATTTTTACTTAAATACTGTTATGTTATATTTGTTAGTGTTTTATATCATCAAGTCACATGTACGCGTGTGCTACAAGTGCAAGAAACACCAAATATATAAAAATAGAAGCATTACCTTTCTAAAATTAAAAACCATATGTGCAAAGACACTAAATGGCTTGATGTTTAAAGAAAACAAGTTTTCCTTTTCCACAGTTTATCATACAATAACTCATTAAATATGGCATTGGTATTATCTGTCTTTTGGGAAACATTGTTCACACCCTCTGTCAGCAGCTGAGCCACACAGTTAATGGAGATCTGCTACTGGAGCACTGTCACATTTCCTGTGTTTCTTCCTGTGCATGTTTGATTACTTTTAGCTTATAGTGCTCTTTCAAGTTAAACTAGACTACATTAGTACAGGGTGGCCGCAGGTCCTTAAAAAGTCTTAAAATGTCTTAAATAAAGATCTCCCAATAAAAGGCCTTAAAAAGTATTAAAAGGCCTTAAATTCTGATTTGGGAGGTTTTAAAAAATTTTGAGGCTTTACCCCAAAAAAAAAAAAAAAAAAAACTT